TGGGCTGACCACCTCCGAATAAACCACCTCCTTGTTGGGCTGTCGGGGTACCGGTACTCTGTTGGCTGAAGGGCCCTGAAGGTTTCCCGAAAAGCCCACCCTGCTGCTGCTGGGGCTGTTGACTGCCAAATAAACCACCGCCCGTGCTCTGCTGCTGTTGGGTACCACCACCAAAGAGCCCTCCGCTCTGTTGTGGCTGTTGCTGCTGAGGCTGACCAAAAGTTGAGCTAAAGAGAGACATAATTGCGATGACCCTCTGTCGCTGAGGTGTGTTTGGGGGGAGGAAAAGTGGATGAAGGCAAAAGAGTGGAAAGCTAGAAGAGATGGGAAATGCAAGGGTGTGGGCAGCCACAGGAGTGGAAATGGTTCCTTCGTTAGCGACGCGTGAGGATGAGAGCGCAGCAAGGATTTGGCGTTTCTTGCGAAAGCAGCCCCTTCTCCCGTCAGCGCGTCAAAATTGCTTACTCATCAAAGTAGGCTTGAAGCGAGAGATGTCAAGCCGGTTGCTCCTTCCCCGTTGAAGCGACACGAGAGAAAGTCCCTGTAATATTCCTGGCAGGTTGAAACAAGTTGAAACTTCGTCCCTTATTCGTCATGTCAACTTCTCCTCGAGAACCACAGTTCGTCTTCCCTAATTCGGCAATTGAGTGAGACTGATGAGGAGGTCAGGTTCCATCACGCTGTCTTGATAGATACGACCCCTCTACCGGATTCCGTCCCCAAGGTCGAGGAGGTGGGTGCAACATCCGCCCCCCTCCTATCGGCATCATACTTCATCGGGGCAAGATGCAAAGACTATAACGAGGACTACATGCTTTGCAAGCATGAAGCTAAGGGAAGGGGGCCGGTTGATTGCTTGAGGGAGGGGAGAAAGGTTACTAGATGTGCTTCGTCCGTGTAAGTATCATTTATCAGAGTCCGCCCGCACTCTGTTTAACCAATTGGACGGTACGATGTAGGCTTGAGGATATCAATAAATACTGTCTGAAGGAATTCAGAGCGCATTGGGAATGTCTGGATCAGGCAAACCACAAGCTTTTTTCATGCAGGGCCGAAGAGAAGCCATACAACAAGTGTGTCTTTGACAACTTGGTAAGTTTACTCTCCATCTTTATGAGCTGGAACGCCAGAATGCTAAGCCTTCGTCCCATAGAAACTCGAGAAAGTCATTCCGGATACTCCAAAGGGTGAGGTTCCTGTACATCTCAAGGAGAGCCCGATATGGCGCCATAAATAGGATAGCTCTTTGATCTGCTTAGAGCATGGATGGCACGGCCATCGCCTCGGGAGCGGTATATGCCACAACCTTTGGTGTTTGTTTTTTGTATATGAGCAACAATTCAAGGATATCATAGAACTGCGGATAGCTGCGGTAATCTGTACAGATACCCTCTAGATACGGTTCCGTATGGCTCCTTCTAAGTCGCCTAACGCTGCCTTCTATAAAAGCAATTGAAATGGCAGTTAATCTACTACAAGGTTCCGCATAACTTCCACCAACCTAGAGTATCCAAACTGCATGCTACAAAATCAACAAGGCTGGACTATACATTATATAGAGTAGGATATTTTTGAGGGCTGGTAAATTATGAGACAGTCCATTCATCTGAAGACGATAGATTATAAAATTGGGCGAAATTCGTGCGAAATCCGGAGTATTATACCCCAAGCCGTTACCTACGGTACACCACCAATGCTAGGCCCCGCAGTCGAGCTCGAGTACTCCAGTATGATATAAGCACAGTGCAACCTGACCTCCAAGGACTAGCATCCTTTATTAAGAAAATATCATACCGCAGAGCGCACTCATTTGCTGGTCGTGGACAAGACCCAGCCAATTCAAAATTAACTTTTGGACAAAATGCTATCTTTATTCATTTTTCCCTCCCTTCGCAATTTATAGCCACCATATCCTAAATCGCCGAATTCTAGTAAATCCTAAATCGCCGAATTCTAGTAAATCCTAAATCCACGCAGCCTATCATTTTCCTTGCAGGTCATCCAACGGATGTCGCCTCTGAACACTCCCGTGAAAGCCGGGTAATATTAAGTAGCATCTACGAGTAGCACTAGCCCCAACCCACCGCGCCACCATTTACCAGCCGTGACTGCTTTCCCAGAGGTGGCACCGCACTCGGAGCCACTCAAAGAACTCAAGTCAATCAGCTACTCCAGGATAGCAATCACGAACTTTCATCAACGACCCCCTAACAAACAGCAAAGAGTACGTGTATCCCAGAAACCCTGTCAGAGTACCGCGAGCTAACAAATCAAGCAGTGCAGATGTGAGTGTTTTACGAGAAAACTAGATCCATCCCCGCAAGAAATTAGTGGAAGACTAACCGCGGGACAAATTGCACAGCTTCGTCAAGACTTTGACCGGCAAGACCATTACCCTGGAGGTCGAATCCTCGGATACTATCGACAATGTCAAGAGCAAGATCCGTATGTTTCCCGTCTCCTAGATGTTTTAGTGGAGGAAGGGAGGAGGTTAAGAATGTGTGCGGAAATATAGAGGACAAGGAGGGAATTCCCCCGGACCAGCAGCGTTTGATCTTTGCCGGAAAGCAGCTTGAGGATGGAAGGACCCTTTCAGACTACAACATCCAAAAGGTGCACATCTCCGGCCTTTTTAGTGGTGGCAGTCGGCTGATGTGATTCGAGTGTTTCAGGAGTCTACTCTCCACTTGGTCCTCCGTCTCCGTGGTGGAATCATAGAGCCTTCCCTTAAGGCCCTCGCCTCGAAGTACAACTGTGAGAAGATGATTTGCCGCAAGTGCTACGTATGCATCACCAGCGCTAAAGATCATAACCAGTGAAGCATGCTGACTTGTATTAGGCCCGTCTGCCACCCCGAGCCACCAATTGCCGCAAAAAGAAGTGCGGACACACCAACCAGCTCCGCCCCAAAAAGAAGCTCAAATAAACGTTCCCCCCCGGGCCAAAAATGCGGTGTTTTTCTTTTTCTCTTATGGGTTTCGGAGGCTATATTTCAGTCTTCCCTCTGCCACTTCCATATAAATGATGACGGTGGTAGGGTCTGGGGATGTTACGGGTCGGGGGATATTCGGAACCTCCGTAGTGCGTTTGGCTTGTTTTCTTGTAGACTCGGAGGGAAGTGAGTTCATGAGCTGCTGGTGTTCTCTTGTGCCCAGATCGTGTTCGAGTGATAGTTTGTGATGATAAAAAAAATCTATTCTGGATTCGTGAGATGATACTACAGTATGATACATTAAATGCCAGAACCTAAACGCCCCCCCCCCAAAAAAAAGGTGCATGGGATGAAAAGCCACTTCGCGGCGGTATTTTGATCATAATGGCCACTCATATGGCCTCGCACCATATACAGACCTCGCGCACCCATAGCACATGTCGCCCCCTTCCTTTCCCCCCCCACCGGAAGTCTCCCCGCTCTTCGCCCCGGCACCAAGAACCAACTCCCCACCACCGCCATCCCTGGGAAGCCCGCAAATCTTACACCTGCCAATCCTAACCACACCTCCCTCGGTGACCAGCTTCCCCGCCGTCCGCACAACGTTCGCAACAATGGACGGATATTGCCCCTCAATCCCCTCAAAATACTGCGTCATCAGCTCATCGATCGTGATCCCCTTCCCAACGGCAGCGTACTTCTTCTTCCCCTCCCCCTCCTCCGCCGCTCCGGAGCACAGCGGACGTAGCGGAGTGGGCGCATCCAGCGAAATGTAGACTGCCAATTCCTTCTTTAGCAAATCCCTGAGCGGATACAAGAACTTGAGGCCGTAGGGGGAATCGCCGTCGGACGTTTGCCAGGGGATGGAGAATCCCCGCCCCTTGGCAGTTTCCGCGAGCGTCTTCTCCGCAAGGCGGGTGGTCGTATCACCCCAGAGGACTGCTTCGCAAGCGTGCTTCCGCGCGAGCCCGGTGATGAGTCTCGTCCTAAGGATATGGAGAACGTCCATGCGGGAAGTGGACGATGGCAATGCGCCCAGTAAGTCCTTTAATTTCTCCTCCCAATCCCCTCCTCCCGAGCCCCCTACGCCCATTTCGAAAGCCTTCACAGCACTGGGGAACTCGTATATTCCTTCTAGCTTTACGACCAAGTACTCTCCCACGTGCGGAAACCGTTCCTGAACTGCCCGCATACTCTTCTCCCCTGGTGGGACGGTCGGGTCTATGGCGCTCTCGTCAATGTGGACGACTACGAGCACGAACCCAGTGCGTGTCGTGCGTGCGAGCTGGTTTTGGAGTTGTGAGTTGAGGAGGTGCAGCAGGGTTGTAGAGGATATCCCGAATGAGAGAGGGAGGAGGAGACGTCGAGGAGAGGTGTCGGTGTCTGGAGGGTTATAGCGAACGCGGTAGGCTTCCATACGTTTTATGCATTTTGAGCGGATGTATTTGTCGAAGCAGTCACTGGGTTACGAGTCAGTTAGGGGGAGGAGGTGGTGGTGGTGGAGGGGGGTGGTACCTGCAGAGGTGCTCTGTTCGAAGGTTTATTACGGAGGGGCTTGTGCAGCAGCGTTTACAGAGGGTGGACACGGTGGTCCCGTTCGAGGTTATGTTTTGTTCGGCCATGGTGGAGGTGGGGGGTTCTGAGCGAGTGATTGCGAAAGCCTGGGAAAAGGATGCTCGCTCAGGAAATGGTTTCGGAAAATGAAATACGAGTGTGATACTGGCGGCTGTACAGTACTGTCTAATATGTACTG